AATGTTATTCCGCTCAATCGGCGACGAGTTAACGCCGAGGCGATCGCGAGGCGGGGCTGCCGGGTGGACGAGGAATGGAGCAATGCACCATAAACTTAAGAATACCCTCGAAGTTAATCAAATGTTTCTTCTAATTAGTAAAAGTACTCACTGTTTTACTAAATAGTTTTCTCTTCTTCTTCTTCTTCTTCTTGACTAACAACATTAAACCACTCGCCTTCAGTATGCTCGATTGACACCCAATGCCGCTCCAAAACGCAGTTGTCACGCCAGAATCTGGTGGTTGCAAGTCATGCACCTGGCTTTGTGTTTGCTCCCAGATGCGGTACATACACCTCAGATCTCTCTGGAACATGCGATTTTGAATAAATCTCTCAGATCTTTCTCTGTACCTTCTTACACGATTAGCCCATGCGTAAACTTTTTGTTTCCAGAAGTCTATGCGTTCCGTGGCTCTTGTCATATACTCACTGGACCTGATACCAGATCCAGCAAACGCCTGAGTCACAAAACGCATAACCTTTGGACGGTTATTACCCGCTCGAAAACAGATAAGTTTCGCTATGAATCTTCTAGCTATAATACATTTATGCGCTGTTCAATCCTGCGCTGCCATACGGGGCAAGCTTTTCCACGCCGAGAGCCTGAATTGGGATTTATTATCCTCACTCCATCCACGCGGCATGCAGTCAGTGCACCACAATAGAGGATTGAGTGGGTATCGCCTAAATCTAGACTAGAATCTACATACTGAGCTAACAAGCAGTCTACAGCATTTACGATGCATATATTCCGCTTGTTAACAGGTAATCGCGGTAAGGGAGGACGGTCACTGATTGATAAGGATCTATAATTCAAAATCACATCCTCCAAAGTGCCCCTCAAACGCTCAANNNATACAGGGCCCTAAGGTACCCATTTATATTTCAGAAAATCTATCGCCTAAAACCAAACGACTTTACTTTCTAGCAAGAGATTATGCTGCCCAAGAAAAATATAAGTTCTGTTGGACATCCCATGGAAAAGTATATTTAAGAAAGGAAGAAGGATCACTACTTAAGCGAATTGATTCAGAGGAAGACCTAACTAAACTTAAATTACAAAAGTGACTAGTGCACTATTTTCTACTGTTAATAAGAAAATCTAGTTTATATGATTTTGATAAGGATTTATATTATGTTAATTCTACGTGTACCATGCTTTACGCTTTATTACTGTACTTTATTTTTCATATCAACCTGTTTAACGTTAAGTATTGTAATACACTAACAAAACCAAAACACACAATTTACTTGGCTAACACACAAACAGAATGCTACATATACCATTCATACTATACCGCACATACCAAGCTCACTA